CCAGCGCAGCGAGCGTATAAATAACCGCCGGCGTCCTCTGCGTCTCCTCCAGTCCTTGCAAGGACGGTACAGCTCTCTCCATAACCGCCGGCATGATCAGATCCGGCTCCAAGAGCGAGAGCTGCTTCAACGCCGAAACCGCGGCCGACACCACCTTCATATCCTTGTCAAAGATCGCCGTCAACGCCAGAGGACGGAGGCAGAGCACAAACTCGCGCTTGATATCGGGCGTCAGACGCCAGTCGGTCGGGGTGCGGCATTCGGGCTCTTCTTCGTCCTTGTAGCGTTCGACAAAGTTGGAGGCGAGGTGGGAGAGGAAGGTGCAGAGGAAATTGGACCAGTGGCCAGAGTTGCTCGGGTGGAAGAACTGCAAAAGTGTGAGCCATTTCTCAAGAGATTCAGCGTCGGATACGTACAGTTTCACAGCTAGTCAACAGCCTCGACAAATGATCCAACGCCTTCGACCCTCCCAAATATCTCCTCTCCTTCTTGCCTCCGATACCACCAAGGTTCTCCTTCCCCTTCCCCTTCGCTGGCTTGACAGGCGTCGCAACTCCGCTCGCCGTGGAGATTGCCGGAAGAGAGTCTTCCGACATGGAATACACGATCGTCTCTGCGAGGGATTGGACTCTATCGATAGGCTTCTTGGCTTCAACGACCTTTTTGGAGACGCGGGTGTCGGCGACAGTGACAGACATGGCGTTCTGAGAAGCAGCGTTCCCGCCCACGGGGACGTCTACCCATCATCAGCAATGTTTACATAGAAGGGAAAGACGACTCACTCAAAGACCTCAAACACTTGGACATGATAAACTCAAACTCCTCATCCGTGAAAATTCCCACATCCTTCCTGATACCCTTCCACTCCTTATCTCCCAACTTCTCCTCCTCGCCAACAAGACTCGGCGGTACCCAAAAGTTGAGCCCATCCGCATCTTCCTCCACCTTTCCCTCCACCTCCAGCTGACGCATCTTGTGGTGCCGTTGACGTTTGCGCTCGGAGGGATTGTCGGCTTCTTGCTGAGGTGTGTTTAGGAGGTTGTGGGGGATACGCGCAAAGAGCGAAGGGTCGGAGCGGGAGGGGTCGACATGCGCGAGTGCCAGCTGACCGACCAGATCCGACGCCTGATCATCCCACAGCCCCGAGTTGAAGCCCTTCCAAAGCCTAAACATCACCGGCAACCACTTGTGACAATTCCCAATCGGCAAGAAATGCACAAGGAACGTCTGCGTAGCCAGGATAGAGTCCATGCTCCCCTGAATGTTGGGAATGATGGTTTCGAGCATCTCGTCGACGTCGGCGGGGTGGAAGAAGCGCTGGGCGTCTTCGGCGACGTTCAGCAGCGTCGGGGCGAGGTTGACTGAATGTCGCGCGAGCTTGCTGGGATGTGGGAAGAGCTCGAGGTAGAGGGCGTCGTACAGGGGTCGCCAGGGGATACGAAAGTCGTAGATGGTGAGGGAATGGTCGCTCGCCAGTGTGGTAAACATGCTGGCGGCATTCTCAATGATACCCGACGAGATGCCAGGGAGAAAGATGATTTCGTAGTAGAGAAAGATGAGCTTGATCTTGACGTCGCGCTTCATGGCGTAACCCATGGTCTGCCAGATGGACAGAGCCGAGTCCCAGACTCGGAAGCCTTGGTCGAATTCGCGAGCCTTGACGCATTCGACGAGCTTGCAGCAGATGTAGTCGAGCTTGTCGTCCATTTCGGCAATGGTCTCGACTTCATAGGGGAGGGATAGTTGCAGGCCGACCGAGGAGAGACGAACATCGTCAGGCTATGCAGTGTCAGCGTGCATGCACAGAGTGGAGATGATGATCACACCCCCACCCGCATAGAAATGTGACTCACCTCCTCGCCAAGCCTGTTCGGCACCTTGGAGGGCCAGGTCTCGCTCATCTGAACAAAAGTAGCGCCTTCTTCTTCGTTGTCCGAGTCGCTCTCGTCTAGTTCCTCCTCGAGCTGGGCGAGTTCGTCTTCGAGGTCGTAGTCTTCCTGCTCGTAGTACTTGTCGTCGTAGTTGAATGCGCCGGACTCTGCTGTGGCCTGGCCGTACTGGGGCCGCTGTGTGGGGGTGGGTGCACTGGGTAGTAGCGCTGTGTGTGCCCCCATGTGTTGGGGATGTAGAGATGCAGAAGAGAGAGAGATGCAATTCAACATTCTCATCACGCACCCAAGGGCTGACGCGTCGCGGACATCCCCGCATCTCCGCATCTCCGCTCGTGACGTGGCATTTCCCCGTCAGAATTTCCTCGCTTCTCTGACTTTTGACATTTCTGTCCCTATACTTCAAAAAACCATCCACCATGTTGGTCCTCACAGAAACATCCGTCGGCTTCGTCGTCTTCAAGCTCTCCAGCGACGCCAAGATCGACAACAAGGATCTCTGGAAGGAGTTTGAGACCCCCGAGGGCGCCAACAAGGCGTACGTCCGTCTTTGGAGTTCCCACCTGCATCACTGACGCCTCGTAGCCTCAAGGTCCAGGCTATCCAGCGATTCACTTCCACCGCCTCGGCCGTCGAGGACCTTGCTGCTGTTCAGGACGGTCGACTTACCGACTCGCTCTCCAAGTTCATCCAGGAGGCCGTCGCCGGAGGGGAAGATGGCGAGAAGAAGAAGAAGAAGAAGAAGGTGGAGGAGATGCTTGTGGTTTCTGACGCCAAGCTTGGTGAGTTGGTATTTCTATTGGAGGTGTCAATGATGGTAGAGGGCGGGCGGGAGGCGCAATCGCAATGATTGGTGGAGAGCGATGGTGTTGGTGCGATGGACGACGAGTGGAAAGCTGTATCATGGGTGCTTGGGCGTCGAACCTCCTATTTCTATGGTGGAGATACAGCTGGCCCGAATGACACCTCTATATCAGAGCGTCACTGACTTTTTCCTCAGCCGGTACCATCAACAAGACCCTCTCCATCCCCGTCCTCTCCGACTCTTCCACCCAGGACCTCTACCGAGGTATCCGCCAGCAACTCGCCTCCCTCCTCGGTGGCGTCGACCAAAAAGACCTCAACACCATGTCCCTCGGTCTCGGTCACTCTCTCTCCCGATTCAAGCTCAAATTCTCCACCGACAAGGTCGACACCATGGTCATCCAGGCCATCGCTTTGCTGGACGATCTGGACAAGGAGATCAACATCTACGCGATGAGGGTGAAGGAGTGGTACGGTTGGCATTTCCCCGAGATGGCCAAGATCATTGTCGACAACATTGCCTATGCGCGAGTCATCAAGGCTATGGGTACGCCCATCTTTCTTTTCCTCCATTACCCATTTAACAGCTCTTAGGCTTCCGAACCAACGCCGTCCACACCGACTTCTCCACCCTCCTCCCCGAAGAGCTCGAAGCCACCCTCAAACAAGCCGCCGAGCTCTCCATGGGTACCGAGATCGCCGACTCTGATCTCGCGCACATCAACCAGCTCTCCGACCAGGTCATCTCCATCTCCGAGTACCGAACCCAGCTCTCCGAATACCTCCGCAACCGAATGCAGGCTATCGCTCCCAACCTTACTGCTCTTGTCGGCGAGCTGGTGGGCGCTAGACTGATCTCCCACGCGGGCAGTCTGATGAACCTCGCCAAGCACCCGGCATCTACCGTCCAGATCCTCGGTGCTGAGAAGGCCTTGTTCCGAGCGCTCAAGACCAAGCACGACACCCCCAAGTACGGTCTCATCTACCACGTACGTCCCCCCCTCCCACCCTCTCTCTTCTCTGCTCCCACGCTGACTGTTCACCCAGGCCTCTTTGATCGGCCAAGCCCCCCAAAAGCTCAAGGGTAAAATGGCCCGTATGGTCGCCACCAAAGCCGCCCTCTCCATCCGCGTCGACGCCCTCTCCGACTCGGACTCCCGCTCCGAAGCCGCCGCCGCCGAAGTCGGTATCGCCAACCGCGTCAAGCTCGAGTCCCGTCTCCGCGCGCTCGAACACCAAGCCGGGATCGTCTCCACCCGCCGCGTCACCGCTGGTTCTGCCAGGCAACAACCCAGGTTCGAGCTCAACGGCGCTGCGGCAGGCGGGTCTTATAATGCTGCGTCGGATAACCCTACGAACCCTGCGGACTTGCTGCCCACTCAGCCTGCAGCTGCTCCTGCCGCTGCTGCGGCTTCGCCCGAGAAGAAGGAGAAGAAGGAAAAGAAGGACAAGAAGAGGAAGAGTTTGGCGGCGGAGGAGGTTGGGGATGTGACGATGGACGGTGATGAGGTTGCTGGTGAGACCAAGGAGGAGAGAAGAGCGAGGAAAGAGGCGAAGAAGGCTGTACGTCGTCCCCTCCCATACCCAACAACAAACAAAAAAACTGACTTGATTCATAGGCCAAGGCCGCGAAGAAGGAAGGCAAGGAGGACGGCGAAGGCGAGAAAAAGTCCAAAAAGAGACGCGCGAGCGAGGCTGCGCCTGCTGAAGGGGGTGATGCCGATGGCGAGAAGAAGAAGAAGAAGAAGAAGAAGGACGAGTAATCTTTACTGCCCCATTCTTTTTCATCATTCATCTTGTACTTCTTTTCTTAGTCGCAACCCTTTTGTCGTTGTCGTTTTTTCTCTCATCATCTTTTCCTCCCACTTTTAGAGTCGAACAATCATTTTGGCATAGACTCTGTGTATGAACATATACCCTGCTTGCATCTTACCACTCTGGACTGGCATCTTGCGAATAGCAATAACCGTTTCATACTACTGTAGCTCAACGTCCTCTCCACGTCCTGTCAAGTACTTTACGTTGACCGTGCGCCCATCGCCCGTCCCCACACAAAATCAATGATGCTCGTCGAGCAGATCTTATCACTTCTCAGTACTACGCACACGTCACACGTCGCCTACTTGACCGGGCATCAACCGATGGGTACGAGATCGTCGAAGGATCGAGCTCTTAGGTGAAGGCCGGAGGGGGGGGGTGGACGTGTTTGAAATTCCTGAAATTCCTGAAATCCTGAAATCCTAGGTTGATCTGCGTGGGAAGAGAGTGGACGGGTCGGATGGTAATGAGGGAGCTCCGACGCGTTACGCTCAAGTGCCGACAATGGTCGTTCAATCCATACGATCTTTATAAGGTATACTCGTACTCGTACGAGTACTGTAGAATTCTCTAAATGCTGAGATCTAACCCAGTCTAACCCAGTGTCATGTCTAGACGCTGATCATTCTATACCACCGTACAACTAAGAACCCAAGAACTTAAGAACGGCAACCCTCTATACCCTCTATACCCTCTATACGCTCTATACGACCTAGACGACTCTAGACGACGCGGTTGACAGCGCCCTTGCCGTCGAGATAGTCGACCATGATGTCGATAGCTTTATTGCAGCCGTCGAGAGTTACGCCGTCGGTGCTGCCGCCGCTACAGCAATAGTCAGCGTCTTCCCGGTACGGGAAAGAAGGAGAAGGGGGAGGCAAGGGGGCAAGGAGGCAAGGAAGACTTACAGATGAGGCAAGAGTACGACATTGTCCAGCTCCCTCAGCTCGCCCAGCGACTCGCCGTACGCTGGCTCGACCTCAAACACGTCCAGCCCCGCGCCTCCGAGCTTGCCCGCTTTGAGTGCGGTTTCGAGGGCGCGTTCGTCGACGATGCCGCCCCGCGCGGTGTTGATGACCACCGCGGTGGGCTTCATCCACCCCAGCTCTTTCTCCCCTATCAAGTTGCGCGTGCTGTCGTTGAGGGGGCAGTGCAGGGAGACGACGTCGACTTGGCGGAGGAGGTCTTCGAGGGAGGACGCGCGGGTGTGGGGGAGGGGCGGTTTGGAGGCGGAGGAGGGGGAGGAGGCGGTCCAGCGGGTGAGGGGCGAAGAGGGCGAGAAGACGACGACATTGCACCCAAACGCCAGCACAAGCCTCCCAACTTCGTACGCTATATCCCCCATCCCCACCAACCCGACGACCTTGCCCCCCAGCCCGGGGCTCAGCGCGTTGATAGAAGGCACGCGCTCGCCGGCGCGGATGCGGCGGTCGACTTCGAGCACGCGGCGGAGGACGGTGAGCATGAGGGCGAGGGCGAGCTCGGCGACGGCGGGGGCGTTGCCGCCGGGGACGTTGGTGACGGCAATCGAGTTGGAGAGGCAGGTGGGGATGGGGACGTTGTCGTAGCCGGTGCCGTTGCGGGAGATGATACGGCATTTGGGGGCGGCTTTTATCATTTCGGGGGTTATGGTGCCTGTTCGGAGTACTATCCGTGGTCGTGGTGTCAGCGTGGGGTTGGAGAGGAGGGGGAGAGGGAGGAGGCGTACGGATGGCGTCGATCTGGGGCATGAGTTCTTGCCATGGGCCGTCGCTGGGCCGGAGGAGGCGGGCGAAGCGGGTGGCGGCGTATGCTTCGGACTTGGGGTGGAAGGGGGTGTGGAGGTAGACCGTGGCCTGGGCGGCGCGGACTCGGGGCTCTTGGGGCTCGGCGGGGGGCGTGGGGAGGTGGGCGGCCATGGTGAGAGGAATGCGAGGGGGGGATGGAAACAGAAGGGGAAAAGATGAAAGCCGAGATAAAAATGAGATGACTCGCGATAAGAATGGGATCTCGGGATCCCGGCTCGGCGGCGTCTACTTCGGCAAAGCGGCCATCCCCGCGTCTGTTGTCGTTTGTGTTTATCCATCCACTGGCGGGGCCATTGGCCATTATGCATTGCTGAAAACTCATTTCAGGAGGTGATCAACTCCTTATTATTGTGGTGATCAGACCTGCTCTGGGGGACAACTGAAGTTATCACCAAGTGTGGTTGCGAATTGAGCCCAACGACGTGAAGAGCAAGACAGATACAGATGTGCTTGGGTGAGGTCTTGGAAGAAAGTGTGGAGGGTCAAGAAGAAGAGGAGGGGAGAGAAGAGAGGCAAAGAGGGAAAGAGTTGTGGAACAAGTCTCTGTCCCGATACCCAGCCTTTCTTATAAACTGTATACATGGATAATAGGTGACGAGACGATGGACGGAGCGCCGAGTGATACTTGGCGTTTACGGCACGAAGCAGCAAAAGAGTCCATGGGATGTGCAGGCGCCCTAGGACGCTATGCACAACTGACTTATGTACGGTCGTTTGATAACGACGCCATTCCCACTTTGGAACTCGACACTTTGCCGGGGGCTTGGACATATTGGTCCAAGTCTTGGGTGTTGGAAAACCATCCATCGCCAAGGTTGCCGCTGGTATTCGCTATCAGTGAAGAAAGACTCACCGACTTGGAGGCGACGATGCCGGGCTACGCAAGAAATGGCTCGTCCATGTCATTGTCCAGTATCTCATAAAACTCCAGAGGGGCATCGTTAAAAGAGTCGGCACTGAACAGAAACCTACTTTAGGCATGCGGTTCAAACTCGTCCTGCTCGTCGGCATTCCGCACCATCCTCGTCCTCGTCGCCCAAGAGTCAGAGCAACAATAGGAAGTAAGCCAGCGACGCCAGCTAGGTGAGTGAGTGTGGCGCGCTTGTCTGCGTCCAGCAACAACGCAACAACGAAGCGCGTCGAGTCATTCATCTCTGCTTCTCTGCTGGTGGTGGTTCTTTGCAAGAGCAAGTGTGTATGGACAACCTCACTATACCGGGGTCTTGGTTGTCAGCGGCAAGACGGTCGGCCCCTCTCGCCTGCCTCGGATGCCCATGTCTCTAACCATGAGAGCCAATGTTGAAAAGCACTTAATCCGGACTCAAGGAATCACCTCATATATAGGTAATTAGGCAAATAACTAGAAAGTCCGGTGATCATGATCACCGTTAGCTCAATGATACCGTAGTCTCAGGTTGAGATCACCCTAGTTGCAGCTTGGAATCATCTAATGCATGGGTTATCATTACCCTTTATTCAGCTTCTTATAATCGCTTATATTGGGTATATTTGAGGGTAATAATCACCTGCCTGGAGTATGAATATAGGGTAGAATTAACCGCCATTCCAGGTTTATTTGAGTACTCGCATCAGATACATGCAGCTATGATGACCAGATACTTTACGCCAGTGGTCTCCTGCGCCTTCCGCCGGGCTTCCTTCTTGGAGTTCTCAAGCCGCTGCTTGAGGAGAGACTCGATGGGCCACGCTCGCACGAAGCGAGAGCCATCGGCGAAGAGGATTGGGAATTTGGCTCTCATCTAATATAATATTAGCCTTGTTGTGCGAGAATGAGGTGTAGAGCAACTTACCGCATGCTTGATGAGGGCTAGGTCGTCTGTCTCCACTTGGGAGAGCAGGATTTGGCCGACCTTGTCCCCCAAGTGGAGGTCGGCGGCCTTCCTGATCGCCGCCTAGAGGGTGTCAGAGGCGTCAAACAAACACAGGGTTTGAACTTACGGCCAGAGAATTCCAGAGATGACGACGGAATCAGCAGTAGCTAAGTGGCGCGCGAGCTTACGTAAGGGTGACGGAACTATTCTTGGAGAGGACGTTGGCGGTACTATTTTCCATAGCTGGTGTACAGATCTGCTTCTTCATCTTACCAGGTGTGAAGCACTAAAGACTGTATACCAGTCTTCGACAGGCCAATCGTATGCGCCTGATTGCTTCTCGTCCATCCTCATCTCCACCTTTTCCCTGACCTTCTTGAGCTCAATCGAGAGGCACGATCTGGGTGACGCCTGCTTGAAAGCTTGAGGCGCGGTCTTGTACGTTAAATCGGCCTATCCCTTCAGCATCAGCTCTGGATAGAGGTGCAGATGCAGAGTATACACAGGCGATCGATCCAGGGCATCAGACCATCACAAGGATCGAATTTGTCATACCGTCCGACTATCCGCAAACTGAATATACAGTCGAGCGAGAAGAGGAGAAAAGGATGGCTCTCGCAGGGTCAATGTCATCTCCTCCGCCAGTCCTGAACGCGAACCACTCCTTACGGAAGTGACCTGCTTCCATCCAGTTCGGAACAACCGCACCATGGCAACGGACGGCCCTCTGATCCCTGGGGACAATATCTACGTGACAAAAGAGTATATGTTAATCGTCTCTGACTTCCTATCTGACAAAAGACCGATGGATCAGATCGAGTACGAGTCGAATCTGGGCAATGATGTTCATGAGGGCGGGGAACCACTAGGGTTATGGCCAGAATTCGAAAAGCCCATCGAGCTTGTCCGTACGGAACAATCCGGAGGAAGGACGTCTTTCAGCTTGAATGCGAGCTATACTTTCCTTCTGCAAAGAGGAAGACGAGGCCTGCGGCTGCTGATAACTTTAGCTATGTGACAATTCGGCATAAGGATATGTGTATCTTCACAGAAGTACAGCTCCTTGTAACTGAAGACGCGTCAAAGAGGGCGAGAGAGGAAGAGTGGGAGTCCAGGATGATTACGGACTTGTCGATTGCGACGAGGGCGGATTGTAGCGTGCTAGGCGCCTGCACGCCCCATGGACTCTTTTCTTAACTTTGCTCGCCTTCGCCTTCGCTTCGTCTTCGTCTCCGTACTCGTCCTCGTCCTCTCCTTATCTTCTCTCTAGGCTGTCCGACGTTCGTCGACACGCCCGAGTGTGGCGGCTTGGTCCTGGGCGCGCCTCGAAAACACAACGACATATTTGATCCCGCGAAGCCTTCGTTGTTGCCACTCAGCACGCACCTGCAGTGCATTCCTGTTGTTTGGTTCTCTTTTTGTTCTCATCCATCCCCCCATTCCCCTCGCTTTCTACAAGCTTTACACTACCACCTCGTCAACTGTTCTTCTCGCCACTATGGATCCTTCGTATATGGACAGGAGTGAGTGGTGCCCATCGTTCCTCATTGTTACGAGTGCTGAGCGTTTCCCGCAGAGATCATCGACCTGAGCGAGGAAGAGCTCACGTCTTTCCTCGGCCCAAGTGAGCCGCTCCGTCATTACTCACGTCCATCTCTCACTCATCATTCTTGTAGACGTCGCTCCAGGCGTCCGCGTTATCGTCGATACAGTGAGGGCCAACCCCACCTACCTGGGCTGTAAGTCGCCCCGTCCTCTTTTTTGCGCGCTTCATACTCACATCCTTTTGCGTTTCAGTCGTGAACTGCTTCGCGGTAGACTGCCTCAATCGCAGGTACTCGGCCCCGGCTGGTCCAAAGAAGCGCCCCTGGCTCTCCTCACTCTCCCACCTCCCCTACCATCAGTGAGGCGAATACTCTCGTCTCACCGCTCAGCCCGAGCTCAGACGCCTCCACCGTCGTCACCCCCGACCTGATCTCGGAATACGAGGCTAATTTCTGGTACCATGGCATCTCCGTCGACCCTCCCAAGCTCATGTGGCGTTCGGATCTCGAAACTAACCCCTTCCCCACCCCCCAGCGTGGAGACCGCTTCTTCAAAGTCCCCACCAAGACTGCCCACGGCGTGTTCAATACGCCGCTTAACAACGTCTGGGACACCGTCGCTCCCCTGATTATCGCATCGATGAAGTCCCACAACCTCAAGTACTCCGCGCTCAAGGCGGTTCGCTTCTCGACCCGCTTCTCGACCCTCCAGGACGAGGACGAAACGTTTGGTCCTGTCGTCGTGTGGATCGTCGTGCGGCCCAACACCACCAACGCCGGGGCTGTTCGCGATGCCACGCCAGACATCCTTGGAATCCTCGCTAGCGCCAATGTCACCGGCATCGTTGTCGAGTGGTACGAGGGGTCGGTCCAAAAGCTGGTCGGCCAGCCTCTGATGAGGGTCGAAGAGTCCATCAGCTCAGTTTCGGCCTCAACCACCCCTTCAACACCGGTCTAGGCATCCCCATCGCTAGACAGTCTGACGACTCGCAGGGCACCATCACATTCCTTTTCCGGGAGGTGAAGGACGGTAACGGCTATCCTAGCGACAGGATTCTCGCGGTGACCAACAAGCACGTCGCCTCCGTCGACGCGACCACCACTTACGAGTTCGATGAGGCTGACCCTCAGCACATCCTCGTGTGTGGTGAACGCCGTTTCGCTCGTGCCGTTGTCGAGATTGAAAACAGCGTCAACAATGCGCTCCGGGACGCCGTTATATTTACACGGCAGTTGAAGCGCGTGGAGTCGACCTCGGGCGGTCAGAACAGCGTGGCCGCACGACGCCAGAGGTCCGCTTTGAACGACAAGAACGAGGACATCGTTACCCTTCAGACGCTCCTCAACAAAGTCCGATCCGATTGGAAGGCTGGCGAGCTCCGTGAGTTCGGTGTCGTCGACTGGGCTCCCGAGATTTCCGTCAGAGTCGACGACCGCCACGACACTCGCGACATTGCCACGTTTGCGGTCGATGGGGCGAAGCTCGAGAATTTTGAGGGCAACATCGTCGATCTTGGTGCGTTCCGTTTCATTTCCCCGCCCTTCATGAAAATATCGCATACTGATACTCTACTCTTCAGGCAACCAATACCGCGTCACTGAGCTCGAGGACTTCTTCTGGCCCGTCGCTGCTGTTCGCAACGGCAGGACGATCCCCGACAACCTGCAGCTTCCCATCCGCAGCGCTCTCCCTCGTTGCCTCGTAATTAATCCCGACACGGAGGACCAGAATGGCGAGCCGCTCTACATCGTCGCCAAGTACGGCAATACGACTAAGCTCACCCTGGGTCGTTACTCCGGCATGGAGGCCTACACCTGCACCGACCTCGGACTCGAGTCTAGGGAGGTCGCGGTGTATAATTACAGCAAGTTTTCCGGCGACTTCTCTGACCACGGTGATTCGGGCTCCCTAATCTTCACGGGCGATGGCGACGGGCTCGCCATGCTACACTCAGGCATGTCTCGAGGCATGAGCAATCATGTCACCTTCGGCACGCCCCTCTGGTGGGTCATCGGGCAGATCCTCGGCAAGTACCCCTCGGCCGAGTTCTACGGCATCGCCCACACCCTCGACTGAGCGCAAGCACGTCCAAGTTCCGTCCTCTCGTTTCCGCCTCCCCCACCGTCCTTTCTCCTCGTCTTCTGTTTTTCTTCTTTTTCTCTCTCGTTGGTTCGCACTCTTTCGTTCCATCCTTTACGCTAGTAGCTGATTATCTTTGTCGTTTAGCTCTTTGGCGGATTGCAGGCCTCATCTGTCCCTTCAACGTCGTCTTGCCCCCCCGTCTCTCTTCCATTTCTCTTTGATACTGCCCCCCCCCTCCCCGATATATATAATGTTGCTACATATTTACAATGTACATTATCTGTGACGTTGTTCGTATACGCCGCCGAGTGATCAGTAAGCCAAACTTAAGAGACAAGGTAAGATTTTGATGACTTGGCGTCCAAAGTCTTCTGATATGAGCAACAAGCAAAGCGAGTCTCGTTTCGTGTCGTGTACACCTCCCTAGGTTAATGAACCCCCCGTAAAGACCTGTCGGGCGGGTCCGAAAAGGGGGCCTAAGATGCACCTCAATTTGCCCCCGCCCACGCACCAAATCCGTAGTAGCAAACGAAACGCGTCTATGCACTTGTTCACCATACTAGACTCTTCGCTACAACATCGTTCCCCCTACACACTGCATATCCCCTCGTCTTCCCCCAACTCTTCCGACCGCCGTGCGCCTCAACACCCTCGGCTTTCTCCCACCCGTCATCTTTGCTTTGATCACCTCTTCCCTCACCACTGCCCTTGACGCCGGGAGCGCGCCCTCAGAGGCGAGATAGAACCACCAGTCGATCAGCAGCCTTTCTACCCCGACAATGGTGACGAGGACATGGGGGGCGACATCTATGAGAGCACCGATGAAACGGGCGAGCGAGAGCTTTGTCTATTGATGGCGTCGAGCCAGATCAAACCGCCCCGCCTCTTGTGCCCCCTTCACCAAGGCGGTTGTCGGAAGGTTGATCCGGCCCCGTTGCATTTGAGTGATTGGGACAGGTCGCATTGCCTTGACGATGCCATCGTCGTCGTCGGCAGGGCGTGCGCTGACAGGCAGCGGCCTGGATAGACGCTGAGTAAGGGACATTGGGAGGGGATAGAGGCTGGAGTGATGGGCTGCTGAGAGGGTCATGTATGGGAGCGAGGGTGTGTTGACGATGAATGAATTGTAGCGAAGAGTCTAGTATGGTGTACAAGTACTTTACATGCATGGACGCGTTGCGCGTTTCGACTTGGTACATTACAAATTTCCAATTAAAGGGGAAGCCCTCAGGGGCCATTCAGGCCCCCTTTTCGGACCCGCCTGACATAGGTGTGGGAGAGTTAGTAGAGACAGGGGCGTTCTTTGGACCGACCGGGACCGAGTACCTGCGATTGAGGCAGTCTACCGCGAAGCAGTTCACGACTGGAACGCAAAAGGATGTGAGTATGAAGCGCGCAAAAAAGAGGACGGGGCGACTTACAGCCCAGGTAGGTGGGGTTGGCCCTCACTTCATCGACGATAACGCGGACGCCTGGAGCGACGTCTACAAGAATGATGAGTGAGAGATGGACGTGAGTAATGACGGAGCGGCTCACTTGGGCCGAGGAAAGACGTGAGCTCTTCCTCGCTCAGGTCGATGATCTCTGCGGGAAACGCTCAGCACTCGTAACAATGAGGAACGATGGGCACCACTCACTCCTGTCCATATACGAAGGATCCATAGTGGCGAGAAAAACAGTTGACGAGGTGGTTATTGGAATTGGAGATGATCCCGCAACTAAGGAGTAATTACATGGTTATTAGTGGCAGTAATTACATTAGTAACTATGTAGTGCCGGGGTTGGCCCAGTACCCGCACATGTGCGGGTGCCAGGTTTGAGGGTCAACCCAACCCGACTATAAGTCACGGCGTCCAACCTGCTTAACCCAGAGCTACGTTACACGCACATTCATACACATTAACAAGGGGGCAAATCGACTATATCTCAACAGTGGTGATACGTGACCATAGGAGTTGCATAGGAGAGTGGCAAATTACGACAACTTATTGGGCCACCCCTATAACAGACCCACTCATGACTCACCTACGTACGGTTCTTAAGTGTGCCTTTTTAGAATTATACCAAGGAAAAGTGTGATGCCCATGCTACTGCTAATCTATACCCTCTTGCTTTTGCCTCTTGCCTCTCGTCGAGATGCCACAGCCTACTTTCCAGAATCCAACCTCTTCTTGACCCCCTCCCCTTCCTCTAAAAGCGCCACATCCTTCCAGATCCTCGCCTTCTTTGTCTTTTAGTTTTCCGCCCCGCTCACCCACTCCACCCCTAGCCGATCTGCCTCGGCCTTCTTCTCCCACGCCTTTTCAGCCATATCCACCGCCCCCTTCTTCGTCTTCAGCCCCGGCAACCTCTGCAAACACTCTTCCAACGCCGCCTCACACTTTGTCTTTCACTCTTGCGCCACCAACCTATCTGGGAAAGACACTTCGAGGCGGAGACTGAGCCAGATGTAGAGAACGAGCGACTTGTGGAGAGTTTCGAGTTTGGGGAGTGGGTTGATGAGGAGGTGTGGGACTTTTTGTTTTTTGAGGAGCCCTGGGATAGCTGTTTCGGATAAGGGAGGCAGGGTTTGGAGCGTTTCGAGGACGTCGCCAAGCGTTAGGAGGAGGTCGGTGGTAGAGTATATAGACTCCACCGCCGCGCACCCCAGCGTAACATAATCATCCACCAAATTCCTGACCACCTCTTTCGCCTTTTCATCCCTCGAGCTTATGGGCGCGAACGAAAGGAGGCCGATCTCGCTAGAATGGACAAGAATTGACGGTACGGCTCGATGACGTCGGCGATAGCGAGCTTGTTGAATGAGTCGGTCACGACGGTAGAAGGAGGCGGCTTGGCGAGGGTGGAACAGTGTTTCACCAAGTCGCCGTATATCAGACTAGAGGTGAGGAGGGCAGCGAGCTCGATAAGGCTGATAGTAGGGATATCCATCTTGGCCCTCGCGATGGGAGGGAGTTTCCAGTCCAGCACTTTGCGCAGGACGGGGAGGTCGGCGGGTTTGAAGGTGGTAGCGTAGCCGCTGGAAAAGGGCGCTTCGTCGGGGGTTGCAATGTTCTTGTCGGCGCCAGTCTTGAATCGGCCAGCGCGGCCGGCGCTTTGCTTGACTTGCATAAGGGATATGGGGACTTGTTCTTTGCCGTTGAATTTGGAGAGGGCTTCGAATATGATTATCTTGATCTTCCTGTAGAGGTGTTAGGAAAAGATATCGAGTATGAGGGGAGGACTAACAAGTTGAGCCCCATTTCGACGGCATCACTAGCCACCAGAACCTTGCACAACCCATTATCATTATTGAAATCCTTTGCCTTCTCCGCCCTCGTCTCTGGCGACAACGCCCCATACACCACCGCACACTTCTTCCCCCGACTCTCAATCACCCTCTTAAAATTGAAGGTACACAACCTCGAGAACTTGACGACACAGTCCCCATCTTCGATCTTGATATATTCATTTTCGATGGATGCGTCGCCGACGAGGAGGGGGGTGAGGCGGTTGTATTCGTGGATGGTGAGGGTATCGCCGAGGGAGGTGATCATACCGCGAAGCAGCTCCACGGTCGTTTCATCTCCATACAAATGAATATCCTTTGCCGCCGTACCCAGGATCGCTTTGGCCCAAGATCCGCCGCGGTTCTCATCGCCGAGTATCTGCATCTCATCAATGACCACCACGTCCAACGGTTCGCCGCCGAGACCGCCGAGAGGCAGCATCTCGATCGTACAGCTCAACAACCCCGAAATGGGGTCGACGATCCTCCGCTCCTCGCCCGTAATGAGATTACAACTCCTCTCCTTCCCATCTGGACCACCCACACTCCCCAATACATCCTCTTCACGGGCACAAAGGCCGCTGAGGAAGGGTACAGCGGGATCCTGAGCACCTCCGACGTCTTGAGCGGCACAGACGTCTCCAACCCCGCCCAAGACCACTCTTCACCCCTCACCCACTTAGGCACATCATCAAACTCGGCCTTGTCCTCTTCATCCTGCCTCCTCTCCTTCTCATGCACCGCATACCGCGCAGGCGTTGAGCCAGCTTTCAACTTGCGCACAAACTTGTATCTGCGGCTGTGATACCTCTCCAACCGAATCGAGTAGAACGAGTCGAGTAGCATTTGGGAGAGCTCTTCATTTCGCAATTGGTGCAGGGGAGGGAAGGTGCGGGTGGTGGTAAAGTAGCGGACTTTGGCTTCGGCCATGGCGGGGACGAGGGGCTTGTCGTCCGTCGGGGGCGGGCGAGTAGGGGGCGTTGATTGATGAAGATGAGAGGATGGTTTGAACGGCGAAGATGGAAAGGTCCTCGGAAGAGAGGGCGGACAACCCGCCAGAGCCAATCTCGCCGTCGACGAGGCCATAGGAGAGAGCGAGCGATGTGTTGAGAGATCTCGGCCGCATGGATAGGTCCACATCGGTGCAAGTACGAGAACCTATCCCATATCAGCTTTGGCACTCCAGGGACAAAGAGAGGACGTACGAGTGAAGTTCACTTCTATGCAGACCCATACCCCTGTAAGAAGGATTCAAAACCACCCCGCGGCCGGCGAGGACGACATCACAAGCCGTAACGAGCGCCACACCACCAGCAGCCGCATTCCACCTCACACACGCTACTGTCACAATGACCCTCTGACTCAACGCCTTGCCCTGGCCTTGCATGAAAGCAGGCTGCTCGTCGGAAATGTCGGAGCAGAGGAAAGAGACGATATTATCGCTGGCGCAGATATTGTCCCAGGTCTCTTGGCCGGGGGAGGAGGCGTGTTCGATGGTGTTGAGGGCGATACCGTTGGAAAAGTAGCCTCCGCCTATGAGGGCGAGCACCTTGACATCCCTGCGGGAGGGATCAGCGGCTCATTGGAGGGCTGAGAGGAGGGTGCGGCAGTTTTGAGTCGTGAATGCTCCATTGCTATATCGTGTCAGCTTCCATTCCACACTCAGAACCGAATGAACATACTAGAAGCTTCAGTAGACAGACTGGGCGATACCATCACCCTGCTTGACACTCCTCACAAACACCTCCTACCACTCACTCTCCCTCTCTTCCCACGTCTCTTTGTACATTCTCCAGGATCTTGCCGTGCCCTGCGAGCTTGATAGCTTCGGCCATGGGGATCTTGGGGTCGATGGGCTTGTCTTTGCCCCGGGGTACACGGCCGTCAGTGATCCAAACGGCAGCGGTCGAAGTGGGCGTTTGGGCAGCTTTAAACAGGACGGCACCGAGATTTGTGGCGATGGGAGTTCTTGCGGGTACTTGTTCGTATGAAGTAAAGCCCAGGGCAGTAAAGAGCGACAAGGGGAGGGTAACGGCCGACTTGTGGAGATGGGCGCCATACGCAAAGAGCGACGCCTTGGCGTCAGACGTAAGAGGGTGCAGCATAGCGCCCGGCTTTGAGTCGCTAGGGTTGAGGATCCTCAGCACATCTTCAGCCGTATGCTTCTCCCAGTCTGGTTTTCGCTTGGCAAACTGGACCAACGGCCTCTCGTGCGTCTTTCCGCCCAAAAACCTCTCGCCCCAAGAGACGCTCAGCTCTTGCCAGCTCTTCTCCGGCGCGACATTCCTCCACTCTGCCTTATCCAAACTCGCTGATGAGAGCAGTGATGACAGCCGTCATGGCAGCAGGCGAGTGGAGGTTCTGGTAGACGCCTGCTTTGGTGACAGAGCCGAAAGGAGGGAGGGGGCCCAAACAGCCCCGCCATCGAGATCTTCGGTGGCCTGGAAGCAGATCGTGCCCCAGTGTCAGCGCTGGGCTATAGGGCTGGGGAGGGTTGGAAGGAGGTCAGGGAGGAGGTCGGTAGAAGAGGAGCCGGCGCCGTTGTCGTCGAGCAGGACCCAGTCGAGGGAGGAGGGGCCAGCATCGCCGGGGAGGCCTGGGTGGACGACGAGGGTGATCCACTGTGGGTTTGCATGTCGAGGGAAGAAACTGATGGTGACTCGTCAGCTCAAGGTTAGCCACATGGTAGAGAAAGGCTTACCTGTCGGGCGCCGCTGCGAGCTACAAGCAGCGGAGGAGCACTTGGGATGGCCATGGTACTCGTATCGCGGACCGAATTGTCGGTGTGTGTACAAATGACCTGGCGGTGCTGCCATCCTCCCGACCGCCCCAAAGCGCATGGACGACTGCTCGGGCGCTTATCCACTCTCAAAACCTGGTTAGACATTGGCATACAAGACAGAGTAGATAGTAGGAGAACTCACCCATGGCTGCGATAGATCTCGTCTATCCGGCGCTGGGAGAGGACAAGCGCGCGAATAGCAAGTACCTGTAGCTACTTTATGTCAATTCTACCTTGTCTCGCCTTGTCGCCAAAGTCGGCTTCCGTCTTCAGATATTCTGGTCATAGGGTATCTCAATGGCGGCCGCTTCGAGAGTGATAAATAAAGAACGGATGAAGGACAGTGTTGGCGATGTTATGAATTACGAGTTTCCAAGCTGCTGCAACATGGCATGTCAGCCGGTACCACACGCCGCTTTGCTCACGTACCTCAGTCACTATCGGCCCCCATATATGATGGTATGAATGATATTCAGCAGACATCATGGGCCCTGATGGAATCTGTTTATCAATAGGCCTTCACATGATTGAGGGCTTGAAGGCTCTATTATGGGGCGTCGGTCAGCACGAGTGCTCAGCGACTAGCTTGAGAGTAGATGAAACTTACCATGTCGGATTGTCTGGACATATGTATGTATAGATAGAAAAGAATGGCGATCAGGAGTGCAGGGTGATGCGTACGAGTACTCAGCTTACTGCGTGGTACGGTATGATGCAGCAATAAAGTGATGACGATGGAAGATAACTGCCACCGGTCTCGGCGAAGACCGCAAGAGACTGACATGTCGACCACCTCCTCATTATTACAGCATGTATTGACTATTGGCCCTCCTACTTGCTCTCCTCCTGATTTGAGACTATCAGCAGAACGGAATCACGGAAGAACACACCTTCCCAGCTGACCGCCTCTTCTCGGAAAAAGAAGCTGACCAAACCATCGCAACCACAAACCTGTCAGGGGGCTTTCTTCCTTCAGCTATGCCTTCGAAAGTCGCCAAGGTGTAAACTAGAAATGATCTGAGAGCTTGAAGTAAGTGGCCAGACCAATGCCAAAGGAAGATAGCTTGTTCAAATAGTAAAGTAGAGAAGACAACAATAGTGGATTGACAAGGTATCTATTAAGCTATTGAAAAGACGTCCTTATATACCCTGGCACCTCAAGTCTGCTGATTCATCTTTTCCTGCCGTCATAAACTCTAGAGTCTGCTACATGTTTGAACCTGGTGTCGAAGGGATGTTCTCAAAGGTGGTGTATTGGATTGCTCTCGCTAACTCAACGTATCTCCATTATGCCGGAAGAGGTGATGTAAGAGGCGGTGTAAGAGGCGATGTAAGAGGCGGCGTGAGACTAGCTCGGACGCGGGTTAGATGATAGAAGGCGAATGAGGAAAGTGTGTCAAGATATTGTAAAAGGAAGATGCGGTTGGGTCATCACTTTGGTCGAGTGGCGACAGCCGCGTGACAAAACCCAAGCTGCCGGAGCTGCCCAGGCCGGACAAGAGAGAAGGAGCAGGAAGGGTCTTGCTCTGGGATACGAAGTCATTGAAGTTGGGGAAGATGGGGGTGAGCTCTTTTCTCAATTTGCATGGTGAATTGGTCGCTGACAGCTTGTAGATTCGGCGCCGCCGCTCTCGGTTTTCTATCCTCCTCCGTCTCATCCGAGCCTGCTGAGCCTGCTGAGGCTGGTCCCCAGTGCTTTGCCCGCAAAGTCTCTCTCGGTTGGTTTTCGCCTCGTACAAACGTGTATGGGCGCTGCCTCATTGGTGTACAGGACACTGTCGTCGTCATAGACCTGGACTGGACGAAACCACAGTCAATGGTGAGCTTGACCTCTTCACTGATGATGTTGTAGGCTAATTGCATACATTAACAGCTCCAAGAGCTGTTAGCATGACTCTCATGGGTAGAGACATAGGCATCCGAGACAGGCGAGAGGGGTGAGGTAGATGAGCTGCATGAGCGACGTGAGTCAACCCCATCTCGAAAGAATCATGAAGACTGACAACGAGTAGTGCCATCACACTTGCAGCACTATATTGAGCCGTCACCCGCCAATGTTGGTACGACCACGTATGCTGGTGTCGGGACTCTGTTGCCACTTGGCTTGGGTTCTTCAACGCGTTCGTCCTCTCCCAACCTCACGCGTTTGAAGCACACGGACGATATCGCAGCTCGGGAATTCCTATCGTTGTGGTTTGCGCCAAGACCAATCTCAGGGATAATCCTGCCGAGGATGTGGGAGTGAAAGGTGGACGCTAAGAAGAAAAGACAGCTCGAGCACAGCAGTCACTGAGAACTGTCTGTTTGGCCTGTATGTTCATCTCATCTTCATTGACTATCATACTGATTATTGAATTTAGATGGCGCCGCTGTGTTCTACACTGTCCCTTCATAGCCTATGACATACGCTCTCCTGAAGAGCTATCTCCTCCACAGACTGTATACCGTCCCGCCTCCACTGAATCCGCCACCAGCCTCCCCAAACACCGTGGCAGTTACAGGGCTTTGGCATTGGTCAACGGGGATTACACTCGTATCGTGAACCTGCCTGATCTGCCTCCGGGAGCAGGCGGTGGTCTGATAATCTTGGTCGAAGCCGATCCAGATCTTGTCACCGAGTTGAGGAACCGCGGCGCTGATTGCCTGTCTGCAAAGGATTTTGGCCTTTTCGCGGCAGGAAAACATCCCATTATACCATGTCGAAGTGGAAAGTACCGAATTCCCTCATTGCAGATTACAACATCGCAGATTACAAGGACTGGGGCCTGAATCAAGATGCTAAGGACCGCCTCGATGCCACTATATATCTGAACCTTGCCCTTGCTACTCAACACTCGGAGGTCGTTTAAGATCCTCCTTTCAGCACCCATCTCCCTACAAACCTCATCGGCGCGAACACGTCCAGAAAAGAGGCATATAAGTGGCTCTCTGTCAGTAAGCAGATGAAAGGACGCCGCCCATCGACAAAGCCATCGACGAAGAAAGCTGCTTCGGCTGCGAATGCCGCTGTTTCTGGTCCCCAGAATCAGAATGCCGGTGAGGAGAATGACAGTGGATCCAGGGATAATGAGGAGGAGGATGAAGAGGAGTATGAAGATGAGAACAAAGGCGGTGGTCCTCCTGGTGGTGGTCCTCCCGGCGGTGGTCCTCCTGCCGGAGAGGGTATGCTGCGGGATCTGCCTTTGCAGGATAGGTGAGTGTCTTTCGGCAGCTACAATGGTCTTGTGCTGATCAGATCCTCAGACAGGCTATCCGAGACCTCTACCATCAAGTTCATGCGGTGCGCGTTCTTCACTGTGACGTAGAGCCACGCCACATTCGCCAACGCGCCGACGGCCGCTTTTGTGGCAGGGTCCGAAGACGAAGCACAAGCTATGGCCAGATAAGTCGGGGTTGAGTCCGGAGCGTCTCGTATCTCTTGGTTGTCGGTTTGGGGTGAGTGCAGCGAGCGGGGTGCGAGCTGTGCGAGGCGTAGCTGGAGAAGTAGAAGGATAGAATAAGGATAGCTGAGAGCAAAAGCTGTAGCGTGACCGCCACATGGCATCCACCACCGCCACACTCTCGGCGTCACGGCGATACCTCTTACCCGTTTCCGTCTCCGTTCCGTCCATAGAAAATGATGCATGCCGGAGACCCAGGAGCTTCCTCTTCTTGAATCTTCTTGAGGAACCCCTG